ATTACCATCACAACACACATCATTACCACAACAACACACATCATTACCACAACAACACACATCATTACCATCACAACACACATCATTACCACAACAACACACATCATTACAACAACAACACACATCATTACCAAATCACAACACATATCATTACCACAACAACACACATCAACCATCACAACACAAAACCCATTACCATCACAACACATATCATTACCACAACAACACAAAACATTACCACAACAACACACATCTTTAAACCATCACAACACACATCATTACCATCACAAACACATATTACCACAAAAACACACATCATACCACAACAACACACATCATTACCACAACACACACACATCATACCATCACAACACACATCATTACCACACAACACAAAATCATTACCACAACAACACACATCATTACCACAACAACACACATCATTCCCATCTCAATCACCTTTCATTACCACAACAACACCCCATCATTGCCACAACACACATCATTAACACAACAACACACATCATTACCACAACAACACACATCATTACCACAACAACACACATCATATACCCACAACAACACACCATCATTACCACAACAACACACATCATTCCCACAACACACATCATTAACACAAAAAAACACAAAATCATTACCACAACAACACACATCATTACCACAACAACACACATCATTAACCAAAAAAACACACATCCCACCATCACAATACACAGCATTCCCACAACAACACACATCAATTTAACCACAACAACACCCAATCCCTACCATCACAAAACACAGCATTTTACCACAACAACACACAAAAATTACCACAACAAAAACATCCCTACCATCACAATACACAGCATTACCACAACAACACCCATCCCTACCATCACAATACACATAAATTACCACAACCAACACACATCATTACCACAACAACAACACATCATTACCCCAACAACACACATCATTACCATCACAGCACACAAAAATTACCACAAAAAACACATCATTACCACAACAACACACATCATTACCACAACAACACACATCTTTAAACCACAACACAACACACATCATTACCACAACAAACACACATCATTACCACAACAACACACATCATTAACCCAACAAACAAAACATCATTACCATCACAATACACATCATTAACCATCACAACACACATCATTGCCAACACAGCACAAAAATCATTACCACAACAACACACATTACCATCAAAACACACATCATTACCACAACAACACACATCATTACCATCACAATCACATCATTAAACCATCACAACACACATCATTACCATCACAACACACATATACCAAACAACACACATCATTACCATCACAACACACATCATTACCATCACAACACACATCATTACCACAAAAAACACACATCATTACAACAACAACACACATTCATTACCATCACAAACACATATCATTACCACAACAACACACATCATTACCATCACAACACACACCATTACCATCACAACACATATCATTACCACAACAACACCCCATCATTACCACAACAACACACACATTCCCAAATCACAACACACATAAATTACCACCACAACACATATCATTACCACAACAACACACATCAATTACCACAACAACACACATCATTGCCACAACAACACACATCATTACATCACAACACAACCCATTACCATCACAACACATATCATTACCACAACAACACACATCATTACCACAACAACACACATCATTACCATCTCAATACACATCATTCCCCACAACAACCAACACATCATTGCCACAACAAAAACATTTAACACAACAAAAACATCATTCCCCACAAAAAACACACATCATTACCACAACAACAAAACATCATTACCATCACAAACACATCATTAACCACAACAACACACATCATTACCATCACAATACAAATCATTACCACAACAACACACATCATTACCACAACAACAAAACATCCATACCATCACAATACACAGAAATTACCACAACAACACACATCATTACCACAACAACACAATCCCTACCATCACAGTACACAGCATTACCAGAACAACACACATCCCCCTACCATCACAATACACAGCATTACCAAAAACAACACACATCATTACCACAACAACACACATCATTACCCCAACAACACACATCAATTACCATCACAGCACACAACATTACCCACAACAACACACATCATACCCAACAACACACATCATTACCACAACAACACACAATCATTACCACAACAACACACATCATTACCACAACAACACACATCATTACCACAACAACACACATCATTACCATCACAATACACATCATTAACCATCACAACACACATCATTGCCAACACAGCACACATCATTACCACAACAAACACACTTTAAACCCCCAACAACACACATCATTACCACAACAAAAACAACACCCATTACCACAACAACACACATCATTACCATCACAACACACTCATTGCCACAACACACATCATTACCACAACAAACATCATTACCATCACAACACACATCATTACCCACAACAACACACATTACCACAACAACACACACCCATTACCATCACAATACACATCATTACCATCACAACACACATCATTCCCCAACACAGCACACATCATTACCACAACAACACACATTACCACAACAACACACATCATTACCACAACAACACACATCATTACCACAACAAAAACACATCATTACCACAACAACACACATCATTACCATTCACAAACACACATCTTTGCCACAACCACACATCATTACCACAACACACATAAATACCATCACAACACACATCTTTAACCACAACAACACACATCATTACCACAACACAAAATCATTACCACCACAACACACATCATTACCACAACAACACACATCATTACCATCACAACACACATCATTACCACAACAACACACATCATTACCATCACAATACACATCATTACCATCACAACACACATCCTTGGTTAGGCCTCATTTAGATTATGCTGCACAGTTTTGGTCACCGTATTACAGAATGGATATAAATTCTCTGGAAAATGTACAAAGGAGGATGACAAAGTTGATCCCATGTATCAGAAACCTTCCCTATGAGGATAGACTGAGAGCCCTGAAACTGCACTCTCTAGAAAGACGTAGAATTAGGGGGGATATGACTGAGGTGTATAAATGGAAGACAGGTATAAATAAAGGGGATGTAAATAGTGTGCTGAAAATATCTAGCCTAGACAGGACTCGCAGCAATGGTTTTAAGTTGGAAAAATTCAGATTCAGGAAGGATATAGGAAAGTACTGGTTTGGTAATAGAGTTGTGGATGAGTGGAACAAACTCCCAAGTACCGTTATAGAGGCCAGAACGTTGTGTAGCTTTAAAAATAGGTTGGATAAATACATGAGTGGATGTGGGTGGGTGTGAGTTAGACCTGATAGCTTGTGCTACCAGGTCGGTTGCCGTGTTCCTCCCTTAAGTCAATGTGACCTGACCTGACTAGGTTGGGTGCATTGGCTTAAGCCGGTAGGAGACTTGGACCTGCCTCGCATGGGCCAGTAGGCCTTCTGCAGTGTTCCATCGTTCTTATGTTCTTATTACCACAACAACACACATCATTACCATCACAACACACATCATTACCATCACAACACACATCATTACCACAACAACACACATCATTACCATCACAATGCACATCATTACCATCACAACACACATCATTACCATCAAAACACACATCATTTCCACAACAACACCACATCATTACCATCACAACACACATCATTAACCCTCACAACACACATCATTACCACAACAACACACATCATACCACAACAACCCCCCCCATCATTACCATCACAACACACATCATTGCCACACAACACACATCATTACCATCACAATGCACATCATTACCATCACAACACACATCATTACCATCACAACATACATTACCACAACAACACACATCATTACCACAACAACACACAACATTACCATCACAACACACATTTATTTTTCCACAACAACTCACTCATTACCATCACACACATCATTACCCATCACAACACACATCATTTCCATCACAACATACATTACCACCACAACACACATCATTACCACAACAACCCCACATCATTACCACCACAACACACATCATTAAACCCTCACAACACCCCATCATTAAACCCCCACAACAACATCATTACCCACAACAACACACATCATTACCACAACACACATCATTACCACCACAACACATCATTACCACAACAACACACATCATTACCACAACAAAATACATCATTGCCACAACACACATCAACACCACCATAACTCATCACAATCACAACTCAAATCATCATCACCACAACTTATCACTACCACAACACAAATCATCATCAGAACACAATCATCACACACGACACACATCACTACACAAAACACATCACCACACAAAAAAAACACTCCACACATAACACAAACACACCAAACACACACCACACAACATACACACCATCACCACACAACATCACCACACACAACATACACACCATCACCACACAACATCACCACACAACATACACAATCACCACACACACCACACCCAACATACATACCATCACCACACACAACTCACACCACAACACACACCAACACACACATCACCACCACAACATACACACACATCACCACACACATCACCACACACATCACCACACACAACCACACACAACATACATACCCCTCACCACACACATCACACACAACACATCATCAACACACACAACACACACATCACCACAGAACACATCATCACCTCTCACAACATATCACCACATCACAACCACACACACACACATAACCTTAACAAGGCACCAACCCTCACAAAATATAAAACTAAAGACTTAAAGGTGAAAATATCAATGATAACAAGTTACTCACTCGTCCTTATCGAAGGCCTTGAAGCAAGCATCCATAGTCAGCCAGAAATGATCTTCTCCCTGATCAGTGACTCGAGTTGAAGGTTGTCCCTCCGTTGTGTGGGCGTGGTGCAGAGGCGTGGTGGCGTGGGTATGGGCAGCGTGTGTGGTCAGAGTAGGGCGTGGAGGTGTGGCACCATCCTTGGCTGACAGGTTGGTAGGCACTAGCGTCTCTGGTTGCTTGGAAACCTGCTCCTCCATGGTTGGTGAACACTGGCGCAGGCGCTTACACTCCCTCCACCAACTCCCTTTTGAAACCTCCTCCGGCTGCACAAACTCCTGTTACACGCACACAAACATATACAATTTACAGGTTACCATATTGTTGTTGCTACGTGGGGTGGGGGGACACGGCTGTATCGTAAACATATTGTGAAACACGCGGGTTATGATGTGATAGTTACAGAGGCGTGTTGTTGTAGGTCCCCCCCTTGCAAGAACATCAATATTGCACCCTAGATTTTGCAGAAAAATGCTTGCACATGCGAAGGAAATTACTTTGATGTGTAGGTTCGTTAAACTGGCTGTTATGAGAAGGTAATTTAGTACGTAACTGAGGGACCAATTTTGGGAATATTCTTCTACCGGAGTTACAACGACGTGATCTTCGTCAGCAAGAAGAACGTCTCAAAAAAATCCGATTGTTTATAAGTTACAATGTATTATAATAATTATTGTAAGTCTGAAACAACAGAGGAAGATTGCAAGCTAAAACTCAGTGCACTGAAGACTGCTGCAAGTCTTAGCTGAAACAACAAGAAAATTCTTTACAAACACGGCATATAATACATGGGGAGGTATATGACACAGTGTATATATATACTGCAACTTGACTTGAATCCTTGTTTTAGAGGTTAAGAGTATTCTTGACTGGTGGTGGACAGTTTACATAAAGCTTTCAATGACCCTTATATAGCTGGCGAGACTTAACACCAGTAACCAACCAACCTTCACGGATAACCCAAAACAACAGAAGAATTAAGTCAAATATAAACGACCCTAAATGGTCGACCAATACACTCGAATATTTTATGGGTGAAAAGGCATTTACAGATGAATCAAAAGACGAGAGAATCGTCTTATTAACCAACATAGTTTTAAAAGAAGATTTAAGAGTTAAAATAATAATAAAGAAAATTAATAAGCGAGTCAAAAGAGGTGATGTACACCTTACTGAACAATATATTCAGTTTTAGAAAATTCAAAAGGGGGAATAAAGAAAGACAAAAGAGAATATGAAAGTAAGGTTACAAAAGAATCAAAGACCATTCCTAAAAGTTACTTTTAATATATATGAATAAGATTAAGGGATGAGATAGACTGACTTAAATGTAACTGAGGTTAAGTTACTGTTAGTGATAATAAGATATGTATCATTTTCAACACTTATTTCCTCAGTTTTTTATATAAGAAGATACAAATGAAATCCCAGAACTCAGTTATGTTGGTTAGGACAAGAATAAATTATGGAAGATCACAGTCACTAGTGACATAATCCTCAAACAACTATATAGATTGAAGCCAAATAAGCCACTGTGTCCTGATGAACTGTTCTTAAGGAATGTAAGAAGGGTCTTAGCAATATATCAGCCAGTCTTTTCAAGTCACTACAAACAGGTAATCGTACTGAATAAGTGGAAAATGGCAAATGTGATAATTATTTACAAAGTGGGAGACAGATCCTTAGCTTCAAATTATAGACCAATCAACCTCACCTAAGTTGTGGGAAAGTTGATAGAAGCAATAATTAAAGATGTAATTTGAAGCACGATTTTACAATGGCGCGTTTTTGCTTTACGAATTTACTGATCATTTTTCGCTAAGGTGTCTGGCTTGGTAGATCATGATATAGAATACAATATTATGTATAAGGACTTCAGTAAGATCTGTGATAAAGTTGAGCACAAGTGACTGATTAAGAAAGTAGCAGCACATGGTGTAGGGGAAATTATCTCCTGGGTCGAGGCATGGCTGACTGAGTCAACACAGTTTGCATTAATAGGGAGAAATCGGAATGGCGACCATTACCAGTAGTGTACCACAGGGTCAGTGTGGACACCCTCTACCAGTGGTGTACCACAGGGTCAGTGTGGACACTCTCTACCAGTAGTGTACCACAGGGTCAGTGTGGACACTCTCTACCAGTAGTGTACCACAGGTTCAGTGTGGACACCCTCTACCAGTAGTGTACCACAGGTTCAGTGTGGACACCCTCTACCAGTGGTGTACCACAGGGTCAGTGTGGACACCCTCTACCAGTGGTGTGCCACAGGTTCAGTGTGGACACCCTCTACCAGTAGTGTACCACAGGTTCAGTGTGGACACCCTCTACCAGTGGTGTACCACAGGGTCAGTGTGGACACCCTCTACCAGTGGTGTGCCACAGGTTCAGTGTGGACACCCTCTACCAGTAGTGTACCACAGGGTCAGTGTGGACACCCTCTACCAGTAGTGTACCACAGGTTCAGTGTGGACACCCTCTACCAGTAGTGTACCACAGGTTCAGTGTGGACACCCTCTACCAGTAGTGTACCACAGGGTCAGTGTGGACACCCTCTACCAGTAGTGTACCACAGGTTCAGTGTGGACACCCTCTACCAGTAGTGTACCACAGGGTCAGTGTGGACACCCTCTACCAGTGGTGTACCACAGGGTCAGTGTGGACACCCTCTACCAGTGGTGTGCCACAGGGTCAGTGTGGACACCCTCTACCAGTGGTGTACCACAGGGTCAGTGTGGACACCCTCTACCAGTGGTGTGCCACAGGGTCAGTGTGGACACCCTCTACCAGTGGTGTACCACAGGGTCAGTGTGGACACCCTCTACCAGTGGTGTGCCACAGGGTCAGTGTGGACACCCTCTACCAGTGGTGTACCACAGGGTCAGTGTGGACACCCTCTACCAGTGGTGTACCACAGGGTCAGTGTGGACACCCTCTACCAGTGGTGTACCACAGGGTCAGTGTGGACACCCTCTACCAGTGGTGTACCACAGGGTCAATGTGGACACTCTCTACCAGTGGCGGACCACAGGGTCAGTGTGGACACCCTCTACCAGTGGTGTGCCACAGGGTCAGTGTGGACACCCTCTACCAGTGGTGTGCCACAGGGTCAGTGTGGACACTCTCTACCAGTGGTGTACCACAGGGTCAGTGTGGACACCCTATACCAGTGGCGTACCACAGGGTCAGTGTGGACACTCTCTACCAGTGGTGTACCACAGGGTCAGTGCGGACACCCTCTACCAGTGGCGGACCACAGGGTCAGTGTGGACACCCTCTACCAGTGGCGGACCACAGGGTCAGTGTGGACACCCTCTACCAGTGGCGGACCACAGGGTCAGTGTGGACACCCTCTACCAGTGGTGTACCACAGGGTCAGTGTGGACACCCTCTACCAGTGGTGTACCATAGGGTCAGTGTGGACACCCTCTACCAGTAGTGTACCACAGGGTCAGTGTGGACACCCTCTACCAGTAGTGTACCACAGGGTCAGTGTGGACACCCTCTACCAGTGGTGTACCACAGGGTCAGTGTGGACACTCTCTACCAGTGGTGTACCACAGGGTCAGTGTGGACACTCTCTACCAGTGGTGTACCACAGGGTCAGTGTGGACACTCTCTACCAGTGGTGTACCACAGGGTCAGTGTGGACACTCTCTACCAGTGGTGTACCACAGGGTCAGTGTGGACACTCTCTACCAGTGGTGTACCACAGGGTCAGTGTGGACACCCTCTACCAGTGGTGTACCACAGGGTCAGTGTGGACACCCTCTACCAGTGGTGTACCACAGGGTCAGTGTGGACACTCTCTACCAGTGGTGTACCACAGGGTCAGTGTGGACACCCTCTACCAGTGGTGTACCACAGGGTCAGTGTGGACACTCTCTACCAGTGGTGTACCACAGGGTCAGTGTGGACACTCTCTACCAGTGGTGTACCACAGGGTCAGTGTGGACACCCTCTACCAGTGGTGTACCACAGGGTCAGTGTGGACACCCTCTACCAGTGGTGTACCACAGGGTCAGTGTGGACACTCTCTACCAGTGGTGTACCACAGGGTCAGTGTGGACACCCTCTACCAGTGGTGTACCACAGGGTCAGTGTGGACACTCTCTACCAGTGGTGTACCACAGGGTCAGTGTGGACACTCTCTACCAGTGGTGTACCACAGGGTCAGTGTGGACACCCTCTACCAGTGGTGTACCACAGGGTCAGTGTGGACACCCTCTACCAGTGGTGTACCACAGGGTCAGTGTGGACACCCTCTACCAGTGGTGTACCACAGGGTCAGTGTGGACACCCTCTACCAGTGGTGTACCACAGGGTCAGTGTGGACACCCTCTACCAGTGGTGTACCACAGGGTCAGTGTGGACACTCTCTACCAGTGGTGTACCACAGGGTCAGTGTGGACACCCTCTACCAGTGGTGTACCACAGGGTCAGTGTGGACACCCTATACCAGTGGTGTACCACAGGGTCAGTGTGGACACTCTCTACCAGTGGTGTACCACAGGGTCAGTGTGGACACCCTCTACCAGTGGTGTACCACAGGGTCAGTGTGGACACCCTCTACCAGTGGTGTACCACAGGGTCAGTGTGGACACCCTCTACCAGTGGTGTACCACAGGGTCAGTGTGGACACTCTCTACCAGTGGTGTACCACAGGGTCAGTGTGGACACCCTCGCTGTTCATACTGTACATAACATTAATGACGGGATAAACAACGACATAAGTAAGTTTGCCGATAACACTAAAATAGATCATCTAGTAATATCTGAATGGAACACCAGAGGGCCACAGGAGAACCTGGATAAGTTGATGTTATGGTCGGGGACGTGACAATAACAGGTGAGTGTAGACAAATGTAAGCTTCTAATCCTAGGAAGAGGAAGTAACTATGGTACGTATACGCTTAATAACGTAGATATCAATTAATATATTTAAAATCTTTAGGAGTCCTGGTTAGCAGAAATTTAAAGACACGACAATAGTTCATACGTGGTCACAATAAAGCTAATAGAACTCTTGGCTTCCCATCAAGAAGTATAAGTAACAGAAGTCTTAAGGTTATATTTCAAGTTAACATATCCTAGGTAAGTCACTATTTATATTATGGTGCACAGTTCTGGTCTCCATATTACAGGACGGTCATAAATGTGCTGGAAAATATAAACAGAAAGATGACCATGTTGATACCACGTATTACAAACCTTTCCAACGAGGATAGACCGAAGACGCTAAACTTACACTCTCTACAAGGACCAGTTAGGGAATTAG